GCCTTCGCTGCGAGGTGCCGAACTGTGGACAGTCAGCCTTGCGTCCAAGTACAAAATGCAGGAAACATGGGGGAGGTCCTCGCTGCACCTCCGAGGCCTGCGCAGTTCTGGAGCTGCCTGCCACCGCGACATTCCGAAGCCCGGAAGGCCAGCGTTTGTGCTGGGGGTGCTTCACCGCCCAGTACCCCGACTGCGCGAAGTTGAAGGTCAGGAAGGAACATTTGCTTCTTGCCGAGCTGCAGCGCCGCCTCCCGTGGCTGGGCGAGCGCGCCACGCAGCTGGTCTGGGACTGCCCGGTGCCCGGAGGCTGCACGCTCAAACGCCCCGACATGCTCTTCCGCCTCGAGGACCGCGGAAGTGGACGAGGAGGGCCACGAGGACCGGAGCTGTGCAGACGAGGACACTCGTCTCGAGCTCATCGCGGCCGACGTGGGCCTGCCCGGCCTGGTGCTCCGGCTCAACCCCGACGCCGAGCGGGTCCTGAAGCGGCGGCGCCTCTGCAACGGCGAGCCCTGCTTCTGCGTCGGGGACGCCAACGCCTTCAACGCCCTCTTTGACGCAGCCGAGGCCGCGGTGGAGGCCTTCGTGGACGAGCAGGCGCCCGAGGGAGTGCGCGTCGTCGGGCTGCCCGTGAGCTGGTGGGGTCAGTAAATGTGCGGGTTGTTTGAGTGCTACAAGGCCCTGTGGGTCCACCATATAAATGGGACCCGTGAAACTCTACAAGACTCCAGAGTTCACCGTCGCGCAACCCCCCGATCCAGTGGTCTGCCGGACGCCCTCAAACGGGATCCTATGCGCTCCGTCGGCTTCCGGGAAGACGGTTCTGCTCGTGTCAATGATCCTCTCTCAGTATAGGGGCTGCTTCTCGCGCATCTTTGTCTTCAGCCCCTCGGTGATGATTGATTCCGCCTGGCAGCCCGTCAAGGACTACGTCAGGGACGAGCTTGGGGTCAACACTGACAGAGAACAGTGCTTTTTTGAAGATTGGGACGAGGCTGCGCTGCGGAAGATCATGGCTGACCAAAAGCGTATCACCCAGAAGAGCAAGGAGTTGGGCCTCAAAAAGCTCTACCAGGTTCTCGTGGTCCTCGACGACCTAGCTGACAATCCCGCCGTGCACCGGAAGACAGGCGACGGCGTTCTGGACTCGCTCTTCATCCGTGGCCGCCACTACTGTATTTCCTGTTGGGTGAGCTCCCAACAACTGCGTCTTATGAGCTCCGCCGTGCGGGTCAACACCATGTTCTACTGCGTCTTCCGCCTGCGCAACCAGCTGGAGCTGGACGCCCTGGTGGAGGAGCTGAGCGCCATGCTCCCGAAGGAGACCCTGTACGCAATGTATGAGGAGGCCACGCGTGAGCCCTATTCGTTTTGGATGGTGAACCTCCGCGCTCCCAAAAGCGAGATGTTTTGGATTAATTTTGAGAGGCGTTTCCTCGTAAACGACGATGGGCAGCCTGCTGTCGCAGATCACAGCCAAACTTCTCGGGGGCGGGCCGATCTGTGAAAGTGAATGTTCCAACGTGCGCTGCTGCACGACCACCCAGGGCGTCTACGACCCCAGCCGGTGGCCACCCCCGGAGCGCCCCAGGCAGGTCTCGGAGGAGTCGGCCGCCAGCGAGTTCTCGGCGCGCCCCACGCGGTTTCTCCGCCGCTTAAGGAAAAGAGTCCCCATGTCCACCACAGTCTACATCGATTCCCGGAAGCGCGTGGCGGGCACCGACAGTGACTTCGAGATCGACTTAGGCGAGACGCTGCACATCGACTCGGGCGCGAAGCTGGCGGTGCACAAGATCCGCGTGGCGGACGCCTTCCTCTCCACGGACCGTGGCAGTTACCTCTATTGGCACGACGTGTCGGGCGGCACGCTGCACAACAACTACGCGGCGGCCACGTACGTCGCTTCGACGAACGAGATTCAGGTCGCCTACGACGGGAATCGAGTGATCCTCAACAACCAGGATCTGAGGCTCACCTTCCCCAACGGCCCGGGCTATCCGCCGGGCGTGTCGTCCACCAGGCCCGAGAGCATCAACCACTTGCTGGGCCCCAGCTTCATCTCGGGTGCCCAACAGATCTTCACCTTCACCCAGATGGCCCCATATGAGTCCCTGTACCTCAGATGTCCCGCCCTCGCCGCGCGCGAGCACATCCTCGGCCCCCTGGGCTCCGACATCATCGCGAAGATCATCGTGGACCGCGGCGTGGGCCACGTCCTCCACAGCCGCACGGATGAAGGCCACTTCGTCAACTTGCACGGTCCCATCACGCTGCGCTACTTGCGCTTCCGCCTCACCGACCTGGACGGCGAGGTGGTCAACACTCGCGGGACCTCGGTGAGCTTCGCGATTTATCTCAATTGGAGTTAAAATGGAGCCCGAGCCCGTGAATGCGGCGGAGCCCGAGCCTGAGCCCGAGGAGCCCTCGGAGGAGCCTTCGGAGGAGCCCGCCGCACGGCCTTCGGCGAATGAGCAGCAGCCTTCGGCGGAGGAGCGGCCCAAACCAGAGCCGAAGAGGCGCGGGCGCCCGCCGGGAGCGAAGGACAAGGCTCCCCGGAAGCCCAGAGTGCCGCCACCGCCGACTGTCCCCGTGGACACGGTGCCCAACACGGAGCCCGCCGCCGAAGTGGAGCCCCCACCGCTGGCGCCTGCCGCCGCACGGCCTTCGGCACAGCCGTTGGAGCAGCCCGTCAGAATGACGCCCTCGGAGGTCCGTCGGGCCCAGCAGCTCTCCCGCGCCGACCGCTTCCACGAGCTCCTGCTCGCAAACAGCATGGATATCTGATAATCTAAAAGATGATGCCCTTTTCCGAAAGGCGCAACGAGCCTGCGATGCTGCGGGCGTTTCACAAGCAGTTCCCCTCTTACAACCTGACGCCGCTGCTCGACAGGCGCCACCAGCAGCTCATCGACGCCCAGGCCTTCAACAAGTGGCTGGCGGAGCGGCGGCAGCGCCAGGAGGGCGAGTCCTACGCCGACGAGCTGGGGCGCATGACGGACGCCGTCAACAGGAGGATCCCCCAGTTGAGATGGGCACCCGCCGAGCGGGCGGGCGTGCGCAGGATGGCGCGGGACGTAGCGGCAGGCAGGAACACGTCCGAGTCGGGAGTCTGGGGGGGGCTCATGTGTTAAAAAGATGGAGCTGTTGGTGTTGCAACTGCGAGACGGCGTGTGGACGCTGGCGTCCAAGGAGCTTGAGATCCCCCTGGCCTTCGAGCATGAGCTGGAGGAGCACGAGGAGGGCGAGGAGATCCTGGGCTTGCTGAAGCGCCGCTGGACGACGCCGCGTCGCGTGGCCCTGCGGTACGACCACAGGGAGGTCCAGAGCTACTTGTGCGAGGCGGCGCAGCGAGCCAGCGAGCTGAGCTACTTGGGCAAGCGGGGCCTGCGGGTCATGCTTAAGTAAATGGAGGAGCGGCGCGCGCACGGCTTCCGCGTGCGACCTTCCTACTCGCAGGTCCTGGGCCACATCGCCGAGGGCGAGCTGCTGCCCATCACCTATCCCAACCGCAACGCATCCATCCTGACCTCCTCACATTTTTGGTTGACTAACAACCCGAGAGCAGCGAGCCCGAGCCCGCGCCGTTGCCCCACACGACCGTGGACCCCGCGGCGGCCTACGAGGACGCCAACGAGGGCTACGACGGGGTGCCCTTCCCCAGGCGCGACTTCCTGCGCCCGCGGGCCTTCGACAGCGATTCTGACTTTGGTGCCGTGGACCCTGGCCAGGCTCTGAGAAACGACGGGTTTCAGCCGCCGCCGGCGCCGGGCTTCCTGGGACGGCTGCAGCAGGCCGAGGCCGCGGCGGGCGCAGCGGCGGGGCTGGCGGGCTCCGCCTCCGCCATCGCGGGGCACGGAGCAGACCTCTACAACGCAGCGCGGAGGGGGCGCAACTGGATCGACCGGAACCTGCGCATCCTTCGCGTGCCCGAGGGCCTGGCGCCCCCGCCCGACGAGGTCGCTCCACCACAAGTGATAGGCAGGCCTTCGGAGGTGGAGCCTCTCCTGGAGCGGGCGGGCCAGGGGGCCCAGGAGGTGGAGCGGGCGGCGGCCCGCGACATCGAGCAGTTCATGAGCCAGCAGATGCCCGAGGCGGAGGCGACCGAGGGCTTCGCTTCCGCGGCGGAGGCGGCGGCGGGGGCCGCGGAAGCCGCAGCGACCGCGGAGGCGGGAGGAGGCGCGCTCGCGGCCATCGGCTCCAGGCTGGCCGCCGCCGGAGAGGCCGCGCTGCCCGTGGCCGCCACGGTGGGGGCGGCTGCGGGAGGCCTGGCCGTGGCGGGCGCGGGGGCAGCGCTGGTGGGCACCGCGTGGGCGCTGCACGGAGGCATGGTGGCGGCGGAGCACCTGATGGGCTGGGGCGGGGGAGGAGGCACCGACACGGACGCCTCCCGGCCCAGCTCCGCTCCCGACATTCAAACCCTCAACGCGATGCAAGAGTTCGGGGCGGAGCAGCACTTCCGGCTCCGGGAGCCTTCGCGCCAGCCACGGACAGAGTACTACCGCCTGACCGAGGACGAATCGGAGCCGCGGGCCCAGCCTGCCCCCAGGGTACAGGCTCGTCCCGCGAGGCCCACGCGCTATCCTACGGGCCTCAACTCCGTGGCGCAGTCCTCGGGCAGCGACTCGTCCCGCGGGCCACGGATGCAGCGTCAAGCCTCACGGCAGCGCGCGGGCTTCGGAGCGCGAGCGAGCCGGAGGCCGCGTGAAATCTTTCGCTACAGTAAACCATGGAGCAGGTGACTGCTGCCGTGAACGACGAGCTGGTTCAGAGCCTCGACTACAAGCTCCAGTCGAGCAACGTTAACTACGTTCAGAGTCGAAAAGATGTGCGTTACTACCCGAGCTCGCTGAGCACCTTCACGCCCACCACGAGCCGAGTCTGTCGCATCCCCCTGACCAGCGGCATGGACTTCATCGACCCGGAGTCGGTGAAGCTCGGCTTCACGGTGCGCAACAACTCCACCACGGCCACGCTGCAGCTGTCCTCGCCGGATCCGTCGTGCCTCATTAACCGCGTGGAGGTCTTTGCCAACGGCACCCGCATCGAGGACATCTCCTACTACGGGCGCTGCTCGTACCTCTACAGCCTACTGAAAAATTCCGAGTGGTGGCTCAACAAGCACATCATGGGCTTCCTGGCGGACGGCGGGGGTCACGCCCAGGAAATCCCGGCCTCGAGCTCCCGGCACGTGCTCATGAGTCCGCACCTCATAGGGATCTTCAATTGTCAGAAGCTCCTCCCGTCCGAGCTCAATCTCGTGCTCCAGATCACCTTCGCCGACCCGAACGACGGGGCCCGCAACATCAGCGCGAGCAAGGACTTCACCATCGAGAACGTATCTCTGTACGCCTCGCAAGTCACGCTCGACTCGGCCCTCCGCGAGAGCTTCCAGCGCATCATGACCAGCAGCCGCAGTTTGATCTTCGCGTTCCCTACAATGCACAGCCAATTGTCGAGCGTCCCCGCCGGGAGCACCAGCTACAACGTCACTGTCGCCCGCGCCTTCACGAAGCTATTGGGCGCCTTCGTGACGTTCAACAAGACGACCGAGGACCACGTGGACAATTTCGAGTACGCGGGCAACAACGACAACCGCAACTTGAAGAGCCAGCTGCAGCTCGGGGCCTTGCAGTTCCCTAGGGTGGCTAACGAGAGCATCGCGGACCACTTCCACTTCCTGGAGATCATGGCGGGCACCTACGACAGCAAGATACGAAACATGCGGATCCGAGACAACCTCTACGGAAACTACCAGTTCGTCGCTGCATATCCCGTCGAGCGCGTGCCCCGCCACCCCCTGTCGGGCATCTCGACGCGCTCCGGCGACCTCTGCCGCTTCAGCTTCGACCGCATGGAGCCAGACCGGGTCGACCAATGCTTCCTCCACCTTGTTTCCTACCAGTTGGTCACATTGAGCTCGGCGGGCGTGTCTTCCCTCGATTAGTAAAACATGAATCTCTTCTCCTCTAGCATCACAGGGAATGTCCTCCAGGACGGGGAGACGCCCATGGCCACGATAGAGGTGACCGGCGTCACGGCTGGCCAGGTCGCGACCATACTCACCCAGTACACGCCGCTGGAGACGACCACCAGCAACACGGCGGCCATCGGAGTGAACTCGGCCGCCCTCGCCGCGCTGCAGACGCAGGTGGCGGCCATCCCCCCGCCCCCCGACCTCGCACCCTACGCCCTGGCGGCGGACCTCGCGGCAGCAGAAGGATCCATAGCGGCCAACGCTTCCAGCATCACAAGCCTGAGCACCAGCCTCACTACGGGGCTGGCCTCCAAAGCGAACCAGAGCGCCCTGGATGCGCTGCAGCTGGACGTCAACTCCAAGAGCACGCCCGCCTCCGTGGACCTGAAGCTCGCGAATCATCCGACCAACGCGGGCATGTCTTCGGCCATCGCCTCGGCCAACAACGCGACGCTCGCCACGGTGGCGGCCAACTATGGGCTGAAGAGCACGCAGGACCAGCAGGCCCTCGACATCGCGGCCCGGCAAACAGCGGCCGACGTCTCCCAGGCCATCACCACCGCCCTGCTCCCCTACACCGACACCAGCGGCCTGAACAGCGCGGTGGCCCTCAGGACGACGCCCGCGGACGTCTCGCAGCTCATCGCGACGGCGCTTCTTCCTTACGTGCAGCAGGTGGCATTGGACGCTGCATTGGCCATCCGAGACGGGAGGTTAGACACCGCCGAGGCGGCCCTGGCGGCGCTGCAGGCAGCGGGCTTCCAGTCGGCTGCCGACGTTGCGGCGGCGCTCGCCACGGCCCTCGCAGCTGACACCGCGGCACTCAACGCCCTCCTGGCCGTGCGGGACGCGCGCCTGGACGGGCACGACGCCGACATCCTGGCCCTGCAGGGAGCGGGGCCCTTCGCGACGGCAGCAGACCTGTCGGCCTCCGAGACGAGTCTGCAGTCGGCCATCAACTCCGCGCTGGCCGCGCTGACCACGGGAGGGGGCACGAACCTCGCCAACGCCCAGGCCTGGCCCGGGGAGATCACCTGGGACCTGCTGTTGGGCACCAACACCATCCTCAACTTTCACTTCAACGCGCCCCTGAGCGTCACCCTCGAGAACGACAACTTCACGCTGTCTTTGGCCTGCGACGCCTACACGCAGGGAGAGGTCAATGCCCTCCTGGCTCCCTTGGCCAGCGAGTCCTGGGTGTTGGCCACCCTCGGAAGCTACTACACGAGCAGCGAAACCAACGGAGCAATCACGGCAGCATTGGTCCCGTACAGCACGACAACGGAGATGGACGCAGCCATCGCGGCGGCCGTGGGCGGCGTCGACCTCAGCGCCTACGTCCCGTGGACCGGGCTCCAGGCGCCCATCCTCAACGAGATCAGCATCGCGCTCGCGTCTTGCTACGACTCCGCGCAGGTGGACGCCCTCCTCGCGGGAGCGGCGGTGACCAACGCCCCCGCCTGGCGCGGGAACACCGTTTGGGAGCTGCTGACGGGGCAGGCCCTCCGGAACCTGCACTTCACCGGGCCACTGGTGGCCACGCTCCAGAACTCGGGGAACACGCTGCAGATCGACTGCCAGGCCTACGACCAGAGCCAGACGTACACGCAGACCGAGGTGAACGCGCAGATCACGAGCGCCGTGGACGCCCTGAACGTCTCGCAGTACGCCACGCAGGCCGACATCGACAGCTCCATCGCCTCGGAGCTCACCAACTACTGGAACCAGGGAGAGACCTCGGCGGAGATCGCGAGCCAGATCAGCTCCTCGGGGCTCCTCACCGAGGCCCAGGGGGACGCGAGGTATTTCCCGACTAATGGCAACACCTCAGGGGGACAGATCATTCCGCTCGTACTGGACAACTTCGTGCCTCGCATCATAAGGTCGCTGCTGCCCCAGGCTCCGTTGGGGGCCAATCTGATTTTGGGCAACTCTGCGACGGTTCAATTGACTTGCGATGCGTATTCCAAGAGTGAGAGCGATGGGAGGTACTTCTCCAACACCGACTTCACGCCCCTCGACTCCAGGTACAACATCGTCAACGGCAACGCCGGCGGGGGAGGCATCATTCCTATGGTTTTGGAGAACTTCCAGCCCCGCATGGTCCGAGCGCTGCTGCCTCAGGCACCCCTGGGGGCGAACCTGATCTTGCATAACTCCGCGACGGTGCAGCTGACCTGCGACTGCTACAGTAAGAGCGAATCGGATTCACGCTACGCGCTGGCGGGGGCGCCCCCGTCGGATCCCCTGCTGGTCAACGACGTGCGCGCCAACACCGCCGATTATTTGACGCTGCGGGGCGGCAGCCTCGGCATCGAGTTCGAGGCCAGCAACGGGGCCGCCGTGGCTGACCTGTCCTCCACGCTCTTCAGCCTCAAGACGGGCGTCAACATGCTGACCATGGGCCGCATCTTCGCCGACAGCAGCCTGGGCATCGCCACGGCCGGCAGCATCCAGGCGGACACGGTGGAGCCCCTGCTTCCGACCAACCAGTTCCTCAACCTGAAGTCGGGCACCGTCTCCGTGCGTGTCACAGACCAGAGTGACCAGAGCCTCTGCACCTTCGCCACGTCGGAGGTGCACACGGTGGCCCCGAGGCTGCGCGTGGACACGGAGCTCTACATCGACGACGCGACGGGCGCCGCCACGGGGCTCGTGACCAACGCCATCTCCACACGCGCACAGGACACGCAGCTCACCATCACCGGAGGCTCTGGGGGCACCGTCGTCAACGGGGCGCTGGACGTGTTGGGCACCCTGACCTCGGGCAGCGTCGAGCTCAGCACGGAGCTGAGGACTCCCACGGTGCGGGCGAGGCCCACGGACCAGTTCCTCACGATCACAGGAGGCGTCACGGGCACCTATCTGAACAGCGTTCTATACACGGCTTCCGCCATCCGCGCGGACAACGGCAGCGTCTCCAGCCCCGCGTACCTGGACCTCATCGGCGGCAGCACGGGCGTGCAGGCGCAGGGGGACCTGCGGGTCGTGGCCACCGCGAACAGCGGGGACGTGACGGCGGAGGTCGTCAACCTCGCGCCCGTCGGCAACGCAAAGCTCAGGCTGGAGTGCGGCTCGGGCGAAGGGGAGCTGGAGGCTGCCTCCGCGGGCGGCGTGCAGCTTTTCGCACCGAATCAGGCCATCTTTCTCAGGACCTCCTCGGCGGGGCCTGCCAACCTCATCGTGGAAGCCAACACAGGCGGAGCAAACGACGGCGAGGTCGTTTGCAACTACGGCTTCCAGAACCTTTCTGACGAGAAGCTGAAGCACAACGTGGAGCCCGCGGGGCTCGAGGAGCTGCAGCAGCTCTTTGACTCCGTGGCCCCAAAATGGTACAGCCGGACCCAGGGCAGCCAGAAGCGCACGCTCGGCTTCATCGCGAACGAGGTGCGGGAGACGGGAGCCGTGGGCCAATCCCTGTGCGGCAAGCTCGTGGACGAGGAGCTGGGGAGCTCGTGACATTGGATTACAACCGTATGTGCTGTGTGCTGTGGAAAGTCTGCCAGGGGCTGCAGGCGCGGGTGGAGGCCCTGGAAAGGAAGGGCAAGGGCAGGGGCAGGGGCGAGAGAGCGCCCCACCCGGGAGATGGGACGCCGGACATCGGCCTTGCCGAAAAGTGAGGCCCTGGAAAGCAGTTTCGAGGCGACTTCTTCTGGCTTCCCTAGAACCAGGGAGCCCTGAATAAATGGAGGCCCCGGCTCATCCCAAAAACGGGCTTCTTCCGGCTTCGTCAGAACCGACGAGCCCTGAATAAATGGATGCGATCGGCATCGACGTGCTGCGTCGCCTGGCCGCGACCTTCAACGTCCGAGACGCGCGCAAGCTGCACCAGATAGCCAGGCGGGAGTTCCCGGACGACCGAACCCTGACCTTCGCCCGGGCCCGGCGCTGCGGCAGGCGGATCTCATCGACTTCAGTTTGAACACCCGTGGCCCTGGCCGACAGAAGTACGGCCTCGTCGTGAGCGACGTCTTCACGCGGGAGGCGGCGACGATGGCCCTGCCCGACAAGCGCGCGGAGACCGTGACGGCGGCCGCCCGGGAGCTCATCCCAGACCTGGTGCAGGGCGAGACCAATTATGTCGTTACGACTGACAAAGGCAACGAGTTCGTGGGCCTGGAGGCGGCTCTGCCGGACCCTGTGGTGCACCGCGTGAAGGACCCCTCCGATCGAAACGCCACGGCCGTGCTGGACCGAACCATTCAAACGCTGAAGAAAGACCTGGCGGGCGCGGTGGCCCGAGAAGGTGGAAGGTGGAACGAGCACCTGCCGGACGCGACGCGTGCATACAACAAGCGCCCGCACGAGGCGGTGCACGCGGCGCCCGAGGACGTGGAGGAGCAGCCGGCCACCACGTTCCGCGTCTACCAGGACAACGCTCGGAAGTTCCAGCACAACCGGGAGCTGACGGCGGGCAGGCAGCGGCGTCTCGCGGAGGCGGAGGCCTTCCGCGCGCCCACGAACGCGCAGAGGAGCTTCCAGCCCCAGTACGGGCCCGTGAAGCAGCTGGCCTCCTACGACTCCATGGTGGCGCGCGCCACGGACGGCACGGAGACGCTGCTGAAGCACGCGCTGCCCGTGCCCCGCGGCTCCGCGGAGCCCAAGGCGCGGCTGACGAGGCCCCGCACGCCCTTGCACCTCCGACGGCTCCGGAGGGGAGTCCTTGCGCCAGCACCAGCAAACGCTGACGCACCAGCAAACGCTGACGCACCAGCAAACGCTGACGCACCCGCGGCGCCGCGGAGGAGGACGTTCTCGCAGATGCTTCGGGAGGTCCGGGAAGCCCCCTGATTGGGCACCCAGCTCGGTGCGTTCAAACTCCCGGCCAGCAGCTTTTGCCACGCGCGGCGGCGGGCGATGCCTCGCCTTATACTACCAAACCGAGCAGCCGAGCTCACAACCCGAAAAGTCAATTCGAGCAGCCGCCATGCCGAGCCAGTACGCGCCGGAGGCGAAGCGCATCCAGGACCTCGCCAGGATGGTGAAGACTGGCCGCACCCAGAGCAAGAGGTCTCGCGCTCTGCTCCCCCGCGAGATTGCGCAATACGAGAAGGAGCTCCGGGTTCTGGAGCTCCAGCGCAAGCAGGGCATCCAGGCCCGCCGCCAGGCCCGCCGCCACATCGCGGAGGCCCGCCGCCGCCCTTCGCGGCCTTCGGAGGCCCGCCGCCGCCCTTCGCGGCCTTCGGAGGTGGCCCTCGCCGCACGGCCCAAGCCTTTGGAGGCACAGCAGCCTTCGGAGCCGTCGGTGGCAGCACAGCCTTCGGAGCCGTCGGAGCCCGAGCGGCCGGAGCGCGCGGCCCAGCCGGGAGAGCTCTACGAGCTGCAGAAGCTGCGCTTCACCGTGGAGGGCAAATTCGGCTGGTCTCCCATTGGACCCAGCTACAGGGTCCGCGAGACCGAGGCCTCGGCCTTGGCCGTGCTGGCCCGCCGCGAGCCCGTGATCTCCTGCTACCCAAGCCTGCGCGGGCTCAGCGGGTTGACGGAGCTGGAGAAGGGCGTCTACGAAATCTCCCCGAAGCTCTGGCTGAAGCACGTCACCAAGGTCGTGTCGTAGATGTCCGCAGTCCAATGTTCCAGGTTGGACTGCGGACAAGGGGCCCAGCTTCCCCTCGCAAACAGGCACCATCGTTGATGCCCTCGTAGAGTTCCGCTGTGCATTGGTCGGCTGTGACTAGTTCAGCTCGGTTTTCTCGGCGTCCCCAGCTCGCCCGAGGTTCAGCATGTGCATCGCCGGTCCTTAGATTCAAGGACGGCTGAAGTACATCCAGAGCGTCCTGAGACACACTAGTGTAGCTCGGTTGTTTCTCGGCGTCCCACCACGGCAGAGGAGCAGCAGGAGCACAGTGGAGGACACCCCTACCCGGTTGGGCACCCCCGAGGTTCAGCAGCAGCGAGGCTCGGTTGCACCACGGGGTGGTCCGAATGGGGGCAGCGACCTTTGTCTCGGCTGTGAGCGCGCCGCGCTGTTCCGTGAAGCGGCAATGTAGGTGAGACCTACATTGAGGCGCTGGCCCGAGGCACCTCTGTGGCAGGCGCTGGCCTGGGAAGCGATACGCATGGTGCTGCCGTGTCTGGGTTGTCGTGTCTCACGGGAGTCCCCAGCACCACCCAACAGCGAGGAGCACCCGGTTGAGAGCCTCGCTATCCCGGGGAATCCTCGGGACACCGAAAGTTACGGGACAGTTCACCTTGCGGTTTCATCAGCGGTGTCGAAAATGCCGTTGTTTGGGCAGCCCGGTCCATCCCGGGGAATCCTCGGGATGGGCCCCTCAGACCTGCGCAGGGCGCCTGCAACACAATTTCAACATAACTGCGAGTTATGTTCCCAATCCTGTGGCTAGATGCGGGGAGATGTCCGCAGTAGACACGCGCTGTGTCAACTGCGGACTTCGCGTGCACCTGGCAACATTCCAGGTGATGGCGAGGAGCAGGGAGGAGGGAGGAGGCAGCGAGGAGGGCAAATGCTGACTTCGTTGTGGAATTCTACCCGAGCATGTGTCAAAAACTAACACATGCCCTGTTGCGAATTCCACGTTGGTGGAACCGAAAACTGGGGCGTGCTGCAGTCAGGCTCTCAAATTGATGGGTGTCCCCGCCCTAGCTTCGCACGACGGTCCGTCCTTGCAGAGTTCGAGGTTTTGTGCCAAAAAGTGGCACAAAATAAATTCCGAGGATACTAGCGGGCTACTTCCAGGAATTGGAGGTTAGCGACACGATCGCTAACCTCCAATTCCCATTCGAGCAGGGACGCTGAAGGTCCGAGGATACTAGCGGGCCACTTCTAGGAATTGACTCACTCCGTGAGTCATGAAGGATACCGTCCTTCAATTAATTGTACGACATTTTCGTACAAAGCGTGACACACTTCCAGTTCCGGGAAGGAATTGGCAGTTTCTCAAATAGTGATGTCGGAGGTCGCGGCCGACATAGCTGAACCGGCAGTGTGCCAAAAAGCGGCACACTGCCGGAACTGGTGAGCGGCGATTGACCGATGCTTTCGGTCAATTGGAAGTTCGGCAAAAAGTGCCTAACTTCCCGGTTATCCGAAGTGGTGTCTCCCAGACACGACTTCGGATAAGAGACGATGTCCGAAGTGGTGAATAGAATTCACGACTTCGGACGCTGCTCAACGAGAGCCAAAATGACGCAGTGTTTGGCCACCAGACACCACTTCGGACAAGCCGCAACGCTGCGCAACGAGAGCGAAAATGACCGGTGAACTAATTGAAAGTTAAAAACTTTCATTGCGTGCGCTGCTCAACGAGAGCGAAAATGGCCGGAAAGGCCAATGTCCGCAGTGGGTGATTCCGCCCCCCACTGCGGACAAGCCGCAACGCTGCTCAATGAGGGGCTTCCAGGGCCTTCTCCGCAGTGGAGGATACCGTCCTCCACTGCGGAGAACGCGCAATACTGCTCAACGAGAGCCAAAATGACGGGAATTCCAGGTTACTCACAAAGTGAGTAACCTCCGCCAACAAAAGGCCGTGTGGATATGTTACGGATTTGTAAACTTCCCAGGGCCTCACTTTTCGGCAAGGCCGATGTCCGAAGTTGCATCTCCCAGGTGTAACTTCGGACAAGCCGATGAGGGCCTTCCAGGGCCATGGAATTGGCAGACCTGAGGTGTACGATATTTTCGTACACCTCACTTCAGAATTCCGAACCATGGAATTGGCAGACCTGCAGTTATCGATAATTTCGTTAACTGCAGGAACTTCCCGAAGTTGGCAGACCTGAAGTTACCGATACTTTCGGTAACTTCAGGAACTTGTCCCCAGGCCCTTGTCCGCAGTTGCATCTCCCAGGTGCAACTGCGGACAAGCGAATTGCAAGGGCTCGCGCGGGTCGTCCGCGATCGCGTGAAAGACAGCCCATCGCTGCGCTCTCGGCGCCGACGGCCTTGGCCATCGCGACGGGGCAGCTTCAGGGCGTTTGCAAGGTCGGATTTCCGACCTTGGTATTCTGAGGCCCGGAAGGAGTCAACGAGCTGAGACAACGCTAAGGTGCTCCGCTGAACTCGGGGGTGGTGGTGCTGACAGCCGTGCCCTGTGCTGCATCCCGAGGATTCCCCGGGATGGGCTCTCAGGTGCTCCTCGCTGGTGGGGGGACTCCCGTGACCGAGACTAGCTGCCCCCCGAGGACCTGCCACCGGTGGGACGACTAACACAACCTGAGACAACACCAGGGGGTGCCCGGGCGGGGGAGCTGCCGTGGACGACAACACAACCTGAGGCAACACCATGCTGCTGAACCTCGGGGGTGCGGGGAGCTTCCGTGGACGCCGAGAACAACCGAGCTGAGACAACACTAGTGGAAACTCGGGGGTGCCCAACTGGGCGGGGGAGCTGCCGTTGGGGACGCCGAGAAACAACCGAGCTGAGACAACACTTCCTGAACCTCGGGGGTGGGGGGGAGCTGCCGTGCCGAGACTGAGCCTCGGATTCGAGGACGGCTGAAGTACATCGTCGGTCGTCAGATCTGACGATGGTTGAGGCACATCCAGAGCGTCGCGAAGCCTCTCTCAGAGAGGAGTGTCCCCGCACCCCTACATTGCAGCTGAGAGGATCGGAGTTTGAAGTTTCGAGTATACAGTCCCACGGGGTGGGAGAGCTGCCGTGGACGCCGAGCTGAGACACGGGGGTGCGGGGAGCCGCCGAGACAACACAAGCTGAGGCAACACTAGTGTCTCCTGAACCTCGGGGGTGCCCAACCGGCGGGGGGTAGAGGTCGCTGTGCTCCTGCTGCTCCTCTGCCGTGGACGCCGAGACTGAGACAACACAACCGAGCTGAGACAACACTAGTGGAACCTCGGGGGTGCCCAACCGGGGGGGCTCCTCTGCTGTGGTGGGACACCGAGACAACACAACCGAGCTGAGACAACGCTAGTGTCTCGGGGGTGGTGGTGCTGACAGCCGAGACGGTGCATCACCAGGGGCGCGACGGTCGCGCGGCTCCATTTCGGGTAAAAACGAGCGAGGTCGGAATTCCGACTTCGGTCTCTCTGTTAGGTGGGAGTGCCCCTCCCGCCCCACTGACAACCGAGCTGAGACAACGCTGCTGAACCTCGGGGGGTGGGGGAGCTGCCGTGGGACGCCGAGACACCTGAGACAACACAACCGAGCTGAGACAACACTTCCTGAACCTCGGGGTGGGGGAGCTGCCGCTGGGGACGCCGAGACTGAGACAACCGAGCTGAGACAAGTGGAAACTCGGGGGTGCCCAACCGGGCGGGGGAGCTGCCGTGGACGCCGAGAACAACCGAGCTGAGGCAACACCGTGCTGCTGAACCTCGGGGGAGCTGCCGTGGACGCCGAGACAACACAACCGAGCTGAGACAACGCTAAGGTCGCTGCTCCTGCTGAACCTCGGGGGTGGGGAAGAGGTACTGTCCTCCGGCGGGGGGACAGTTTCGGTAGAAAATTTCCCGCTGTGCTCCTGCTCTGTCTCCTCTGCCGTGGTGGGACGCCGAGACACCTGAGACAACACAACCGAGCTGAGGCAACACTAGTGTCTCAGTGTCTCAGGTCGCTGCTGCTGCTGAACCTCGGGGGTGCCCAACCGGCAAAGTGTAGACGCGGAACGTGGACGCGGAACGTGGCTTGCGAAACCACCTCTCTCTTAAGTGGGAGTGTCCCCGCACCCCTACATTACAGCTGAGAGGATCGGAGTTTGAAGTTTCGAGTATACAGTCCCACAATGAAACTGGATTATATTCCAGTTTCGACCCTCTCAGTAGCTCATCTGTGCCCCGATTTCCCGCCCCGAAATTTGCGGAGTAGGAGGAATCGCATCACAGTGCAGTTCTGGGCTGCGGACCTGTGGAGTGCCACCCCTTCTTCTCCCCTTGGCTCCCCTTGGCTTGGGGCTGGGGGCTGGGGTTGGCTTTCTTTTCTGCCCTGCTTCTCTGGCTTGCCTTGGGGCTGGCGGCTGAGGGCTGGGTTTTTTGGGGCTGGGTGGGCTTGGGGCTGGGGCTGGGTTTTTTTGGGGCTGGGGTTGGGGTGGGCTTGGGGCTGGGGCTGGGCTTGGGGCTGGGGCTGGGGCTGGGTTTTTTTGGGGCTGGGGTGGGCTTGGGGCTGGGGTGGGGCTGGGTTTTTTTGGGGCTGGGGCTGGGGTGGGCTTGGGGCTGGGGTGGGGCTGGTTTTTTTTGGGGCTGGGGCTGGGGTGGGCTTGGGGCTGGGGTGGGGCTGGGTTTTTTTTGGGGCTGGGGCTGGGCTTGGGGCTGGGGTGGGGCTGGGTTTTTTTTGGGGCTGGGGGTAGGCTGGGTTTTTTTTTCTCTTCCCTGTTCCCCTTGTGGCGGTCCGCAGCCCAGAACTGCACTGTGATGCGATTCCGAATACGAGCAAATTTCGGGGCGGGAAATCGGGGCACAGATGAGCTACTGAGAGGGTCGAAACTGGAATATAATCCAGTTTCGTTGTGGGACTGTATACTCGAAACTTCAAATTCCGATCCTCTCAGCTGTAATGTAGGGGTGCGGGGACACTCCCACTTAAGAGAGAGCCTCCATTACGATATTTTTCTCAGATAGATTTTGAAAAATGG